AAGTCAGGGTCAGCTGCATTGGGACCAGAGCAGAGGAGAGCTGGAGGAGGTTGTCCTGGCTGGGTAGGGGCCAGCTGCACTGGGACTGGGTTAGAGGAGAGCCAGGAGGTTGTCCTGGCTGAGTCGGGGTCAGCTGCATTGGGACTGGGTTAGAGGAGAGCTGGAGGAGGTTGTCCTGGCTGGGTAGGGGCCAGCTGCACTGGGACTGGGTTAGAGGAGAGCCAGGAGGTTGTCCTGGCTGAGTCGGGGTCAGCTGCATTGGGACTGGGTTCGAGGAGAGCCGGGAGGTTGTCCTGGCTGGGTCGGGGTCAGCTGCATTGGGACTGGGTTCGAGGAGAGCCAGTAGGTTGTCCTGGCTGGGTCGGGGTCAGCTGCATTGGGACTGGGTTAGAGGAGAGCCGGGAGGTTGTCCTGGGGGTTGGGGTCAGCTGCATTGGGACTGGGTTCGAGGAGAGCCGGGAGGTTGTCCTGGCTGGGTCGGGGTCAGCTGCATTGGGACTGGGTTAGAGGAGAGCCAGGAGGTTGTCCTGGCTGGGTCGGGGTCAGCTGCATTGGGACTGGGTTAGAGGAGAGCTGGAGGAGGTTGTCCTGGCTGGGTCAGGGTCAGCTGCATTGAAACCAGGGCATAGGAGAGCCAGAAGAGGTTGTCCACACGGGGTTGGGGTGAACCCCGTCAGGACCCAGGCCAGCGTCATGTGTCTGGGCATGCTGGCTCTCACTCTTAGCTGGCCATGGGTCAGCCACTGCAGCCCCACCTGCCATGGGCTCAGGGAAGAGCCGTCACCAGCATGGAGAAGGACAGGCCCTGCTCAGAGGCCACTGAGCAGGTGCTCCACGGATTCACCAGCTGGAGCAGGGTCACACCTTAGGGGCACCATCAGCACCAGGAGGGCAGCCAAGCAAGGGTATGGCGTTTCTGAGCTGCTGCAGTCGGGACCCCAGAGATGGGTTGTCAGGGAAACCATGAGGTAGCCCAGATGCAAGCACCAACAGGGAGATGCAAATGTGGTTCCCCCCGAAATGTGCAATTAGGGAACAACACGCCTTTATCTCCTGCAAGGATGCTTTTACCCTGAATATGGAAATAATCTGGAAAGAAACCATTTTCTTTTTTTTGAGACGGAGTTTCACTCTTGTTACCCAAGCTGGAGTGCAATGGCATGATCTTGGCTCACTGCAACCTCTGCCTCCTGGGTTCAGGCAATTATCCTGCCTCAGCCTCCCGAGTAGCTGGGATTACAAGCACGCGCCACCGTGCCCAGCTAATTTTTTGTATTTTTAGTAGAGACGGGGTTTCACCATGTTGACCAGGATGGTCTCAATCTCTTGACCTCGTGATCCACCCACCTGGACCTCCCAAAGTGCTGGGATTACAGGCTTGAGCCACTGCGCCCGGCCAAGAAACCATTTTCTGAAATCCAGTCATTGATTGTGATATTATTTGGGATGTGTACTGAGAGGTGTTCTGAGAAGCTCCGTTGTGCAGGTGGAATGGTGCACACATGTGCACACACAGCACACACACATGTGTGCGCACAGACGTGTGCTTCACAGTGCTGTTTAGCGTGTTCCATTTTCCATTTAATGCAGTGGAAGAAGCGCTTCTTCTATTTGGGAGCTTCTCCCGTCAGATCCCATTTATAGAAATGAAAAGATGCTCTGTGTATTTCGAATGAGCACATTGAGTATGAAAAAAATTCTTAAATATCTCCTTAGCACGACCTGCATAGAGTCCCTACTGCTTTCCAAGGTCACAAAGGAGACGGTTACATTGTGTGTTTTCAAGCATGTTTAGATGGATCTAAACAGCTGAGGGCAGAGGCCCTTTCGAGAGTTGCCTTTGTTACGTACCTTTGTTCTCACAACAGCCTAAGTCACAGAGGAGGTTTTGAGCCTGGATTCAGCAAGCGGCTCTGGAACCATCCGCCGTGGCGAGAACAAGGCTGAAGAGCGGGAGTCCCGCCGTTCTTTGTCTCCTGGATTGCGGATTCACCTGCCTGGCTTTCCCTCTCGCCGTGCGTGGATGAGCGACATCCTAAAGGCAAAAGTAGAACAAAAACATTTCTGGGTCATTCTAGAAAACTTTTCACTTTTTAAACACATTTTCTAAGCTACTAAGTCTGTAGCACAGTTTGTCTTCCTTTCTGACAACTGGGCTGCCATAGGAATGACCACTTGGAGGGATAATCAAAGGGGCTGAAAGTCAACTTCAAAACGGCCGGGGACGTCCGGGGAGGATTTTCAGGGAAAGATCCAGGCAGATTTTGTGGGGCTAGCTGTGCTGGGGGCTTCACTGTGTGTCACGTAGCAGAGTGGCCAGAGGGTGCATCCCCCAGTCTTGATGGGACCCCCTACCCCAGTCCTAGTTCTTGATTTTGATCTGTGACTGGAGGACAGCTGGCCTTCCGGGACTCCATATGATAAAATGCTGAGCCCTTATAATATTTTTTAAAAGCCTCTTAAGTGAAATGAGACTGGGGTTTTGTTTGTTGTTTTTTAACTATTAAAAAGTCTGTGGTATCAAAGGATGGGATCTTTTGGGCTCCATGTTCCTATGACTCAGCGGCTGTGACCTTGGGATTTTAAGCATGAATCCCTGAGCCAGGCTGCGTGGACTCAGAAGGGAGCGCTGCCCCACCCCGCCCGAGACTGAGCATGTGACCTGGCACCAATGCACATCTCATGCCACGTTCGTAGGAGGAGGGTTGGGAAGAGGCCTGCTTTAGAGCACTGCTGTAAAAACGAAATGGGTTAGGACAATGCAGAACATGTATTGGCATGTCAGTAACCATGCATAGAAAATGTTAGCTATTGCGAGGCTGTGTTGTAAAACATTAGCTTTCTTCAGTGGCAATGTATGTGTCACACCCTATTTTGAAACAAAAAGAATGATTGATAGAACACGTATTTGAAACACACACTCACAAAATGCATGGATCCACCTGTGAGGGCCGTCCAGCCACCACCGGGGTCACGAGCTGTGGCCCTTAGGTGCTCACTTCATTCGCGCACCAGGCACTGGTTAGAAACTGTGGACACCAGATCCAGAGGACGAGAATCCTTCTTTTAGGTTTTCTCTGTCTAGAAGGCAACCTCAGTTTGAGAATGTTAAAATGCAGAACGGTGGTATTCATCAGAAGGGACAGCTGTTATATAGGAAGAAAATTGGTAACTGGTAGAAAGTACCAACGGGTAGAAATGAGGGCATGAATCCAGCAATTTCAGGGAAACACAGAAAGAGAGCAGAAAAGTTTATGTTTCTGCAAAGGCAAAGGTGAGTCAAGCTAAGAGCCTGAGTCAGGGCTCAGGGCATCCGCCTGAGGCCAGTCTGCTGGGGCTCCATACCTCGGGGTTCTATCTCCTGCCCACGACCCTCCTGTATAAAACACACGCAGGCACATGGACACATTCACGGGAAGCCAGCAGTGGTCACTCGCAGGATGGGTCCACACATCCATCAACCTCAGCCTCAAACCTGCAGCCATGTCTCAGGATGCTGCTGGCATTTTGCCACTCTTGAACCTGCACGCTCTGTGGTCACGGCCAAGTGCAGGGGTCTGTGTTTGTTCACCTTCTGTTCACTGGCAGTTGACCTGGGGGGGTCACAGAGGAGGGGAGGGGGCAGGGCCCCTGGTGTGGTCCCCACACCTGCTAGAGAGATGCCCATCCCAATGTGCCCAGGCAGAGTGGGAATTAGTGGCATCAGTGTGAAGACCGTTTGCTTAATGCACAGTAAAACGAGAATTGGCTCAAAACTAATTTCCTCCCTTTGCTTTCTCTCTCTCCTTTCTCTTTCTCTCCCTTTCTTTCCTTCCTTCCTTCCCTGTTTTAAGTCAGGAAGGGGAAGGTAGGAGCTGGAATATGTTGTACATTTTCTGTTAAAGCAAAAATATTTAGCAGAAATCATGACTTTAAATCTATAATGAGTAAGCGTCACTTAATAAGAATTCACAGTCCAGTGTTTTCTCTGGCATTCCATTTTTAAAGACTGAAGTAAACGAGAAAAACTGCACGGAGGGTTTACTTGGAAAAGAGAGCGGAGCCTGAATCACCCACCTCACATTTATACACATTTTTATGTCCCTATGATGATCCAAGGAGAGAAGAAGAATCAGTCATTTCTGTCCACTTTTCTACAGCGTTTGATAAGATAACATGAATTTTACTGCCTTGTGGGAAGACTGTCAGTACAGCTTGAAAGTGGTCTGGTTACCCAGACACCGAAGCTGAGCTGGGTCTTTGGTTGCCAAAGTCAGCCAGGTTCTTCGGTGCTTTTAACATTTCACAAAATGGCAAGAAGGAAGACCAGAGCACATTGATTTTTTAGGGGCGTTTGGATTTCACTCAGCTTCCCCCTCCTGTTATCTTTGCTGAGATTACGTAACCTGGACAACTCTGCATAAGTTAAAACTGAAAGCGAGCCTTGTATTTTTTTCTGTTATTTTTAAAAAAATATGTAAAGTTGCCAGAGAGCTAATAATTTTTATGAGGCTCTCAGTCTTTCGGCTTCCGCTCAGGAGCTGGGGCTGCTCTCGTGCCTCCGTGCGGGAGCTGGGGCTGCTCTCGTGCCTCCGTTCAGGAGCTGAGGCTGCTCTTGTGCCTCCGTGCGGGAGCTGGGGCTGCTCTCGTGCCTCCGTGCGGGAGCTGGGGCTGCTCTCGTGCCTCCGTGCGGGAGCTGGGGCTGCTCTTGTGCTGTATGAGTCACTACACCTTTCAGCACGTCTTTATTTCTTTAATATGGAATGATCCTAATTTCACTATCTGGCCATAAAATCTCAGGTTCCAAAGGCAATTTTGTAAATAGCCTCCCCTATTACTTTTGATGAAATTCACATTCGTAAATGTGAATCTCAGAATATTTGCATAAGGCAAAGTTATCCATGGAAAGACACAGACATTGAGCTGGAAGTGTGACCACAGCCTCTCGGTGTGGGTGATTCCCATCTCTGGCCTGTGGTGGGTGCTCACCAAATGCCTTTCTCCTTTCTTCTTTCCTGTAGCCAGAGCTACCTGCAAGCTGCAAGTGACATGCCTGTTGGCCACAGCCTGGACCCCGCCGCGAACTACAACTCCCCGAAATTCCGCTCCCGGAACCAGAGCTACATGAGGGCCGTCAGCACCCTGAGCCAGGCCAGCTGCGTGAGCCAGGTCGGGGTCCCTTCGCCCTTTCTCCCTGGGGTCCAGTCTCCCGAGCCAGCTGGTCTCGTGAGGCCCTGGCTGCACAGGCTGCAATGGCACTGCCCTCCTGGTCAGCAGCGCTCGTGCAAGACCACGGCGCAGGGGGTTCCACCTGGAATCAGCTCTGGCTGATTAAACACTCGTGAACTTATTCTTTTCGACACTTATAACTCTATATCCTTTTTGCATTGTTGATTTTTTTCTGAGAAAGCGGTGACAGAAAGGCTGGTCATCTCGGCCTCTCTCCTTCATAAAGCACAGGCTTTCTTCCTTCTCTCGGCCTCTCTCCTTCATAAAGAACAGGCTTTCTTCCTTCTCCCCAGGATATTTTACAGTAAAAAGGGGCCAGGGAAAGGCTCTGGCAGTGTGGCTTTCAACTGTGTCCCCCAAATTGCACCTCAGAAGGTCCTGTGAGGGGACTGCCTGGTGTCACTCACAGAGACCTGCCCGTCGGGCTCACTCCAGGACAGGACTTACTTCAGGACAGGCACAGCAGCCGTGAGAAGGGTCCCTGGGCACCATGGGAGGTGTGGTGTGAAAATCAGCTCCCTGACACATGGGGGCTGTGAAAGGGAGGCCCCCCTGGTCCCCGACCCATGGCGGACAGGGCTGAGAACACACAGTGACAAAATGGGCAGGTGTCATTCATTCTAATCATCCTATGTTAATATGGCAAAGAAGAATGGAGATCTTATAATTTTAATTAAACACATTGCTTACTAATTTAAATGCCTTTGAAAACGGTACTCGAGCTGAGATTGAGTTTGTACACCTAATGTGTTCTCTGACTTCCTGTGGAGTAGGGATGAAGAGCCTGGGCTTTCTGTGCAGTTAGAGGGTGACAAAGGACGTACGCAGTGAATTCTGGCTGTTACTAGGTAAAGAGTCCAGAATATACTAAGCACTCAGAAATGGCGGCCCTTATTATTACCATGATAATGGTAAGTAGTCGTATATGATTCTGGGCAGGCCTCCTGGCTGCAGACCTTGCCGTGAGCCCTGGGTAGCGTGCCTGGGGTTCATCAGCACACGTCGTTCTTCTGCCGAACACTTTACATTCCTTGTGAGATCGTCTGTTCATTTTGCAGGGTTTTTTCCTCGTCAGAAAGTTGTATTCTGAACTTTTTCCACTGAACTATTAAGGTTTTCCCTATTCCACACCTCAAGAAGGATAGCACCTCTTCTATCTATTCAGACACTACTTTTCTTCCAGAAATGGGATTAAGTTCTCATCTTCAGCAGGAGCTGCACTGACTTTTTCCTAATGACAAGGAAAGACCATCCCTGGCCCTGCACTCAAGTCCTGGGCAAACAGGAATGGTGGGTCATCCAGCCCCCGCTTCCAGCTAGCCCTGCTCCCAGCCAGCCCCCGCTCCCAGCCAGCACCCGCTCCCAGCCAGCCCACGTGCCCAGCCAGCCCCCCACTCCCAGCCAGCCCCCCACTTCCAGCCAGCCCACGCGCCCAGCCAGCCCCCGCTCCCAGCCAGGCCCCCACTCCCAGTCAGCCCCCGCTCCCAGCCAGCCCTCGTTCCCAGCCAGACCCCGTTCCCAGCCAGCCCCCCACTCCCAGCCAGCCCACGTGCCCAGCCAGCCCCCCACTCCCAGCCAGCCCACGTGCCCAGCCAGCCCCCCACTCCCAGCCAGCCCCCAGCAAACAATAACAGCTGATCCTCAGCAACAAGAAAATTGTCATTATTTAATAACTGAGGAAACATACTATTTCAGCATGAGGTCCAAGTTGATTTTGGAAGATACTCATTAACTAAACAGAGTAACCGAAAGCCAATGACACCTTGTAACGACTTTTCCCTACACAGGGATGAGGATACAGCAGACTTCCTTATATTAAAGCTATCACGTTCCCTTCCAGTTGATATAACCTAGTTTACCAAAACACACCTTCAAACAGGATAACCCAACAAAAGGTTTAAACAGAAGGGCAGAGTTGTCTCATCAGAGATACGGTCATGCCTCTCTAATGCTTTCCACAGACTAATTAAATGGATTTCGCGCATCTTTAAATGCTCTCAGGAAACCGTAAGAGGCTCTCTGCGGCTTGGCATTTCGGGGGTAAATGTAAGCTGAATGTACTAGGTCTCTCGTCATCCTGCTTTCAATGAACCCAAGACGGTATCTACAAAAATAAGTCAGTAAAAATAACGCTTTCTCACATCTTTTTCTATCTGAAAGGATTCGTCGTTGGAAACAATGGTTAAGCAGATAGGTTGGGGGTTAGGGGTTTATTTAACAACTTTGAAATTTAGAATTCTAAGTCATTCCCATCGCAGAGTTCTGTGGTGTAACTTTAAATTGAACTCAGTATTGAATTATTAAAATATATATATACTGTTATTTAAAGTAATCCTGGAATGCTGGTGGTAGGTGGGGGACTGTATCACACCCAGAAACACACGTCCACGATTGTCCACCCCTCAGCCATGAAACCCAACAATTCAGGAAGGAGGAGGCAGTTGCCGTGGACCAGGGTGGGACGTGTGGAATCACTAACACTTCGGACTCGGGAGAGCCGTGAATTTGATGAGAAACCAAAGTTCGTTAAAAGTTTGCCCTTTATATTTTACACTCAACTTTTTTCTCAAGCACAAAAAGGGAATTTACAATCTAACCGAAGTCCTGTGAGAGATGCTTGTGTCTATGCCACTTCCTGATTGCAACCTCAGTAGCTGGGCTCTGCCTGGCTTCCTGCAGCTCATGAACTCATGAGAGGAGGTCCAGGTGTCCCCCAGAGTCTCGGCGGGAGGTCCGGGTGTCCTGATTGTCTCAGCAGGAGGTCTGTGTGTCCTGAGAGTTTTGGGAGGTCTGAGTGAACGATCATTTTAATTCCCTGCTGGAATTAAACTTTAAGATGCTCCTCACTCTTTATTTCTTTGGGGGAGGAGTCTAGAACCTTCATGTCTAGAACTTCATTGATGAGCCTTTGTAGCTGGAAGCATAGCTGAGGGTCCTGCTGAGATGTCAGCTTCTGTTTTTGAAATGCACACACAGGTTAATGGGTTCTCTTCTTCAGGAGCGAGGGCAGCGGGGCTGGGCTTGCAGGAGGGTGTCCACTGAGGCGACGCAGGCCTTACACAGATTCTGACCTCACGCTGTCTGCATTAGGTCTTTGACATGACTGACACAATCTAAGGCTTTTCTGTAAAATTCTACTTAAGTGAAAACTTAGATTGGAAGAAATTCATGGTCCAGAAAAATGTCCTGTTTCCAAGCCTCTGCGTGTTTCCAAGCACTCTGCCAGGTCACTGAGGCCGTCTCACCAGCTGTGTCCCGGGTCACTGAGGCCGTCTCATCAGCTGTGTCCCGGGTCACTGAGGCCGTCTCACCAGCTGTGTCCCGGGTCACTGAGGCCGTCTCACCAGCTGTGTCCCGGGTCACTGAGGCCGTCTCACCAGCTGTGTCCCGGGTCACTGAGGCCGTCTCACCAGCTGTGTCCCGGGTCACTGAGGCCGTCTCACCAGCTGTGTCCCGGGTCACTGAGGCCGTCTCACCAGCTGTGTCCCGGGTCACTGAGGCCGTCTCATCAGCTGTGTCCCGGGTCACTGAGGCCGTCTCACCAGCTGTGTCCCGGGTCACTGAGGCCGTCTCACCAGCTGTGTCCCGGGTCACTGAGGCCGTCTCACCAGCTGTGTCCCGGGTCACTGAGGCCGTCTCACCAGCTGTGTCCCGGGTCACTGAGGCCGTCTCATCAGCTGTGTCCCGGGTCACTGAGGCCGTCTCATCAGCTGTGTCCCGGGTCACTGAGGCCGTCTCATCAGCTGTGTCCCGGGTCACTGAGGCCGTCTCACCAGCTGTGTCCCGGGTCACTGAGGCCGTCTCACCAGCTGTGTCCTGGTTGTGCCTGCCTGACTTTGTCTGTCTCTGTCCCATGTCAGAAATCCTCAGACCTTTCTGGAAAAGGCCATCCTGCAGCGTTGTGCCAACTCTTTCTCCAGCCCGGCATTTGTCTGTCTCCCTGCAGGTGGCTCCAGGCTCCACTGCCCTTTGCTCACCCTCTGTCTCTCAAGGGCCAGTGCTGGGTTCAGCTCACTAAGACTTTTTGGGGAGAGGGGCCATCCTTCCACCACATAGGTAACCTCAGGGCAAAAGCAGAGAGGTCCACGGCACTGAACTCGGAGTCAGCAACGGTGTGACGGGGGACCTGCTTCCTTGACTCTGCCTTTTACTCTGCTGACAACTAGAGGAAAAGACTAATCTGATGTTAAAACAGTGCATTTTTAAAATGTATCCCCAACATAATCCAGGGGGTTCAGGAAGTTGTTGGTGCTTTGGGCTCTCACACATCCCTGGGAGAACCAAGAAGAGAGAGAATCTGAATGGGAGTGGTGAGGGGAGAAAGAGAGAGGGAAAAGGAAGGAAAGGAAGGAGGGAAGGAGGGAGGGAGGGAGGGAAAGGCACACAGAGAAACAGGAGGCGGGGGGGAAATAGCATCTGGTTTTGAAAGAAAACTGAGCAAAGACAGAGAAGTGAGCATTTGCTGACAGCTTGTAGCTGTGAGCTGTGATGTGAATGTGTCCAGCATGGTGGGACCCCAGCGTCTCCCCAGCCGCATATGGGGGACCACCCTGGAGAAAGTGACTACCCAGCTGAGGTCTGCAGCTGTGGAGAGCAAAGGGGACGGAAGTGGGGAGAAATTATGGCAGAGAGAGGGATCAGCTTGTTCATCCTCAGAAGCAAAAGAGACAGACGGAGGGTGGTTTCAAGGATGGCGTGACTTTCTGCAACTTGAGTGTGTGGCTCCTGTTCGGGAAAGGGGTGCAGAATCTGTCTGGTGGGGAGCAGTGGCCGGACCCCGGAGGGCCGTGCTGAGGAATCTGTGCTCAGCTCGAACACTGTGCTGGTGAGAACATCAAATGGAATGCTGCTGGACTAAGACAGAGATACACAGTCATGGGCAGCTGTGAGGATGTGGCGGGGTGGAGGACAGGGAGAGAAGAAGGCCAAAGCACAAAGGAGAAACTGAGGCCCAAGAGCAGCAGGTGGGCTTGAAGGGTGAATCCAGATGCCTGGGACCTGCCGGAGGTCCAGGCGGACTCCCAGGTTTCCAGCCAAGGTCTCTGCAGCAGGAGGGGTGGGACGAGGAGATGACCCACAGGTGGAAGGAGGCTGTGTCTGCACCGTGGGGGCTGCTCCTGCCCTGTCCCCAAGCCCCGATGCTTCCGGAGAGCCTGGCCCTCGTTCACAGGTGTCACAAACAAGCATCCCAATTGCACATGCATGTTGACATGTGTAAGATGTGCCCTGGGGGAGGCCCACAGACTATGATGAGAACTGGAAGAGAGGGGTCACTGGTCACGGTCCCAGTCACCTGGTTTCCCTCTGTGCTGTGCGACGGCTTGTCTCTGAGCCCTGTGTAACCAGCCTGTGTTCAGCTTTCCATTCTGAAAATCCTCATTCCTTCCACCTGGTCCCTGCAACACCTTTTCAGTCCAATATTCTACTTTGTTGGGTTTCCATTTAAAACCTCCCTATTTGGGCCAGGCACAGTGGCTCACACCTGAAATCCCAGCACTTCAGGAGGCTGAGGCAGGTGGATGACCTGAGGTCCGGGTTCAAGACCAGCCTGGCCAATATGGCGAAACCCTGTCTCTACCAAAAATATAAAAATTAGCCAGGTATGGTCATTAGCCAGGCATGGTGGCTAATTATGGGCTCCTGTAATCCCAGCTACTCAGGAGGCTGAGGCAGGAGAATTGCTTGAACCTGGGAGATGGAGGTAGCAGTGAGCTGAGATCACGCCCCTGCACTCCAGCCTGGGCCACGAAGCAAGACTCCATCTCAAAACAAACAAACAAACAAAACCAAAATATCTAGATTTGGCTCATGGGAATGCACCAGAATGGCCACCAGGAGACCCAGGGGCCGGGCATTGCCTCCTGGTCAACCACCCTAAGCCACGGCGGTGACTCACCCCGCAGCCACGCCAGCGTGGGCACATCCACTGAGATCCCAACCACTCAAGCCAGGATGAGTTTTCTTCAAATGCAGTTGAAACATTTAGGGCCCCAGGGTGACTCCATAGCTGGAAATTAAACATAGGCTGGATAATAAGTGCTTTATCTGCTAAACTATTCAATGAAGTGAGTATACTAATATCCTAACCTAAAGAAGAAGAAAAAAGGCTGGAATTTAGGTAACGTAACGCATTTCATGTGGACAGAAACACCAATACAGCCATTTCTTTCTCGCCTGGACTCAGATGTGTGCTGCAGTACTGGTGAGAAAGAGCTGGGTTCAGAAGGCAAATGTGTGATTGGTTGCTGTGGCAATGGGTAGAAGCAGGTGCCCATTCTGAAAAAGCACTGGGGAGTGTGTGCACCTAATGTGCTTTCCCTGAAACGGCCTCAGCTCCTGGAGCCATCGTGCCATAAGTAGCTTGAAAGGTGAGACAGTCATGTGGGGAGAGAGAAGGAAGAAATCGATTCTGAACACGTACTTTGTACCAGCTGCTTTGCTAATCTTTCACAAGTTCTGTCTCTCTCAAACGTTGTAATAACTGTCAGCCGTACCTTGAAGCTTCGCCTGGTGGGTCCCCAGAACTTCAACACTTGGAATAGGCTGTTTGCCTAAGTGTTTTGTAAGGGGATAACCCAATGATCCATTTCCCAAGCTCAGCCAATGTCCACGCTGATTTCAAGTTAGCAATGCTGAAATACGAGGCCGTGAAGGGGTGCCATGGAGTGAATGTGCCCTCCTGGCTCTCTCTAACGCGGCAATAGTGACCCTGGAGGGCCGGGGCATCACATGTGCTGTTGATGATTGCAGGTGAGCGAGGCGGAGGTCAATGGGCAGTTTGAATCCGTATGTGAGTCCGTCTTCAGCGAAGTCGAATCTCAGGCCATGGACGCCCTCGACCTCCCGGGATGTTTCCGAACGAGGAGTCACAGCTACCTTCGAGCCATTCAAGCCGGCTACTCCCAAGATGACGAATGTATCCCCATGATGACACCCTCCGACATCACCTCCACCATCAGGTCAACAGCAGGTAAGAGAACGCCACTTTCAGCCTTCCCGCAGGGACTCTGCGGGTGCACCTCCCTTTACCCTAGAAGCAGCGGTGCCTGCAGCACCACAGGTACAATGTGCTCTCCTGACAAGTAACGTTTCCTAATTGCATTTGTCACACTGTTGCATTCACAAGCCTGCTTTGTCTCTTAGAAATAACCTTTCTTTTTCTTAGAGTGAAATCTACTAATTATCAAGCTTCCTGAAAATGTTCAAGTATAACTTTTAGAAAGTTTTATAGATTAGAAAAAAATACAAGTGCTAACATTTGGAAGGTGATCAAGTTTTAAATAGCAAAGTTTAATGGGTTGCACTGAGATTTTGGCTGATGAGCAGTGGTCACTCCCAGGCTTCCCATAGCAATGTCCGGCCGGCTGGTCTCTGGCTCAGTAATCAGATCTGCAAACACGACTCGCTGCCAGTGAGCAGGTCCATCATTAACACAGATGCACTAATCATCTTAGACCTCTGAAGACTCGGCCTGGCAATGTCCTATAGTTCTCATGGAAAACCATTCCCACCCCTTTGAAAATTTACCATCTAAACTAAATATCACTGCCTAATATTTTACTGCCTAATATGTTATTTCTATAACACGATGATTATACATGGCCTGGAGAAACCCATAAAACACAGCAAGCAATAAAAGCTCGCCAGGCGGCACATAGCGGCTAAGGAGAGGAGCTATGAAATGACACAGTGACAGCGAGTGAGGTGTTCTGAAGACCAGAGGGTCTGCAGTGCTGCAGCGGTATCGTAGGAATTTAAAGGACAGCTCTGCGGGGAAATAGAACACAGTTCTGTTCATGATAAATCACATTAGCGACAGCAGACACCGCAGGAGAGAAGCAAAGAGAAATTCAGGCAGAAGCGTGTGAGACCCATGAATAGGCCTTGGTTTGTTTCAGTGCTAAAGTGAACAAGAATTCCAGGACATTGCACTTTGCAGAATTACAAACTACAGCATCACCGCGGCCTGCAGTCTGTACTATCCCTGTGCTTCGTGGCAGCGTCTGTGGATGGAGGAGGAGGAACAGCATTCAAACCGCGTTCCGTCCCGTCCTCACCGCATTCACACCGCGTTCCGTCCCGTCCTCACCGCATTCAAACCTCGTTCCGTCCCGTCCCGTCCTCACCGCATTCACACCACGTTCCGTCCCATCCTCACCGCATTCAAACCTCGTTCCGTCCCGTCCCGTCCTCACCGCATTCACACCGCGTTCCGTCCCGTCCTCACCGCATTCAAACCTCGTTCCGTCCCGTCCCGTCCTCACCGCATTCACACCGCGTTCCGTCCCGTCCTCACTGCATTCAAACCTCGTTCCGTCCCGTCCCGTCCTCACCGCATTCACACCGCGTTCCGTCCCATCCTCACTGCATTCAAACCTCGTTCCGTCCCGTCCCGTCCTCACCGCATTCACACCGCGTTCCGTCCCGTCCTCACCGCATTCACACCGCGTTCCGTCCCGTCCCGTCCTCACCGCATTCACACCGCGTTCCGTCGCGTCCCATCCTCACCGCATTCAAACCGCTTTCCGTCCCGTCCCGTCCCATCCTCACCGCATTCAAACCGCCTTCCGTCCCGTCCTCACCGCATTCAAACCGCGTTCCGTCCCGTCCTCACCGCATTCAAACCTCGTTCCGTCCCGTCCCGTCCTCACCGCATTCACACCGTGTTCTGTCCCGTCCTCACCGCATTCACACAGCGTTCCGTCCCGTCCTCACCGCATTCAAACCTCGTTCCGTCCCGTCCCGTCCTCACCGCATTCACACCGCGTTCCGTCCCGTCCTCACCACATTCACACCATGTTCCGTCCCATATTCACACCGCGTTCCATCCCATATTCACACCTCGTTCCGTCCCGTCCCGTCCTCACCGCATTCACACCGCGTTCCGTCCCGTCCTCACCACATTCACACCATGTTCCGTCCCATATTCACACCGCGTTCCATCCCATATTCACACCACGTTCCATCCCATATTCACACCGCGTCCCATCCCATATTCACACCGTGTCCCGTCCCGTCCTTGCTATCAGCCCTTGTGCTTGTTCTTTGCTGACTCTCGCCTTCTGCCGTATTCAAAAGAAGTTGCAGCCGTGGATAATTCATTCACATAAGCTTAAAGATTACTTTTCAAAGCAAGCTGTGGGTTCTCGGTGTGCTTTTCATGTGGCAGAGGTTTCTTCGACGCTGAGCCATGGGCTTGGGGAGAGGGGCAACAGATCCTGGCTGAGCCTGGGCTTGGCGTTCGAGGGAGGCCGGTGCCCAGGACCTGCCCGAGGGAAACTCACGGGCCTGACAACACGGTCCGGAGGCGCAGGCACCGGAAGGCTCGTGGGAGGCTCGTGGGTGGCGGGTGTAGCCTCCTGTTGTCCTCTGCTGTGGCCTGCTCTGCTCACCCCTGCCCCGAGGCGAAGCATGGTCTCACATGCTCTGCCCTGATGTAAACATAGAAAAAATTAGACTCAGGGAAGCCCTGAGATTTACAATTACTGCGTTGAAAAACAGCACCCCAGGAGATCATTCCTCATGTCCCCTCCCCGAGGTGTTCCTGTCTCTTAGGAGCAAATAAACAGTTACGCACTTGCACGGTCTTCAGGAATGCTTTGAGACAATGATTACCTTGTAGAAAAGGACGTTACTGTCTTCAGGGCTGTCTTTATAGAGAGAATAAAAACAAAACAGATTTTACAGAGATAAGAAACAGTTCTGAGCTCAGACTAACATTTTAATTTATATGGATGCAATTTTTACCATGTATATTTTGTATTCCAAAAATGCACATACCAAATAAATCACACAGAAAAAAAGATTCTATTCAGAGTTTCCACTGGATCTTTGCCTAGTTTTGAGTCAGAATTTCCTCTAAGTGATGCAGGGGACTCTCCGAGTTATGGGAGAGTCTGAGAGTCCAGTGAACAGAGAAAGGAAAAGCACTGAGGGACATACATAGCACTGTAGGGTTACAAGGTACCCTGTGAGGAAACGCACGCACAGATTAATCACTAACCTCTTCTGTTTCCCATTTTACCCTAAGTATTGCATATTAAATATTTAAATCTTCATTTACTAAATAAAATTTAGATGACATACAATGCAGTCTATTTAACAAGATTATAAAGAAATGAAAAATCCCTGTCCGGGAAAACAAAATTATGGCAGAAAACTATCAAAATGTGCAGGACGTAGGTGCCTAGATAATCGTGCCTAGATAGCTGAATTTCAACTTTGATCCAGAGCTTCCTGCCAATAAGTCAAGTGGATCGCAAATTTTTCTACTTAAATACTTCTTACTTTTATATATAAACACTTGGAAATTCATGGACTAACACTCACGTTCAAGAGCTCTCCTTCACTGATACATGTATATGTGTGTATGTGTGCCTGTGCGTATACGGAGAGAGGCTTTTTGACACATTGACTTTCCTTTATGATTTTCTTTCTAAAACTAGCTCCTGAAAATAATTCCAAAGAGTTATTTTTGAAAACATTCCAAAGTGAGCACTTTGAATAATAAGATTTATTTAAACATGTTACTTTATGCAGGCTCAAAAGATAAAAGTTGCTGTTACTATTAGATTGTTTCACCTTGTAGAAATACGAATGTATAATATTCACATAATAAATATTGAATATATGCATGAAAGATGTATTGAGAATTTAAAAATACGTATTAGACCACCTGTTTTTTTTTAATTTTTGCATTTTTTAATTTAAGTTCTGGGGTACATGTGCAGATCTTGCAAGACTGTTACATAAGTTCACACATGCCACGCACGGTGGTTTGCTGCATCCATCCCCTCATCACCTACATTAGGTATTTAGCAAAGACTTGACTGAGGAAAATGCCCATCAAGGATGGACTGGATAAAGACCATCTGTTTTAAACATGGAAAATCAAGGATGGACTGGATAAAGACCATCTGTTTTAAACACGGACAGGTTGATGTTCCCGGAGGATGCTTGTTGGTTTGAGAATGCCGAGTTCACTCAACCTTTTTCACTCAACCTTTATGTATTTTTTTTTTTGAGACGGAGTTTCACTCTTATTACCCAGGCTGGAGTGCAATGGCACGATCTCGGCTCACCACAACCTCCGCCTCCTGGGTTCAACCAATTCTCCTGCCTCAGCCTCCCGAGTAGCTGGAACTACAGGCGCACACCACCATACCCAGCTAGTTTTTGTATTTTTAGTAGAGACAGGGTTTCACCTTGTTGACCAGGATGGTCTCCATCTCTTGACCTCATGATCCACTCACCTCGGCCTCCCAAAGTGCTGGGATTACAGGCGTGAGCCACCGCGCCTGGCCTCACTCAACTTTTAAAGGCAGCTGGTGATTCAGCTGAATAGAGCCTTTTAATCTACTCACCGGCCAACTCAAGAACACGATAAACATTCCCACATGCATCAGGGTTCCCTCGTCCCCCGTTTCTCTCATTTTGGAAAACGCTGCATATTGATTAGTGTCCTCTCCTTAAATGAAGTGGTTTTGAAAACATCTAACTTTCATTTCACACATGGCTTCTTTCTCATCTGTGAAATGATTTATTGGATTGCTTTACTTGCCCAAATACGCCTCTCACCCAGTTTTTCCAGGGAGGGAATATTATTGATATTGCGAAGGAAAATAATATAAAATTAGATTATAATGATTTTTCTCTGGGTCAGAAATTTTCTAGAAGTCATTAAGACAAAGGGAAAATCTATAGAGAGGACGGCAGAGGAAACAGCCACAGACAGTTTATTTGTATTTCTATAGCAATTTGTCTCCCAAGGGTGCATGGTAATTCCATTTCCAAGATAGATACTTGCCCACGTATAGGAGAAAACTTCTGTCTCTATTGCGGTACCTTGAATGTCAGAGGTAGGATCACTGGTTTTCAATACTATGTTTTTTTGTTGCTGTTTTAAAATTTTACTTCTTTGCTGGCCTCCCTCTGTTTGAACAAATATGACGATGTATTTAATCCTTCCGA